TATTTCTATGCCTAACAACTATTTTCAAACACTGTAATTTCCACTGGCTTATCCCTGTAGACATTATGTTAGGTTCTGACATAACATTTTTCTGACCAATTAAAAGAAGAAGAAAAAAGAGGATTGGGGTGGAGAGAGACAATTAAGAGGAAACATTCCTACGGAAGGGATAGAGACTACAGGACAGAGGTCTCAGAAGCAATGTGTCCCCTAGCTGGTTTGGTTCAGTAGACAGAGCATGAGCCTGCGGGCTGAAATCCTCTCTGAAATCAATAAAAATATATTTTGAAAAATAAAAATATATTGTAAAAAATAACAAAGCAGCAATGTGTCCAGTAGAACTTGCTATAATAAAGGAAATCATTTGTATCTCCGCTGTCCCTATGGGAACCAGTAGCTACATGTGTCTACTGAATACTTGGAACCTGGCTAGTGTGACTGAGGGATTGAATTTTGGTTTTATTAAATTTATTTATTTATAATATTTTAAAAATTGATTTCAGAGAGGAAGGGAGAGGGAGAGAGAGATAGGAACATCAATGATGAGAGAGAATCATTGATCAGCTGCCTTCAGCACACCCTCCACTGGGGAAAGAGCTCACAATCCACCCAGGCATGTGCCCTGACTGCAATAGAACTATGACCTCCCGGTTTTATAGGTTGACTCTCAACTACTGAGCTATGCCGGCTGGGCGGTTTTATTAAATTTAAATATTAAATAGCCACCTTATTGATGGCATAACCCTAGAGATTAGGAAAGAAGAATAAGTAGGGTTGAAAAGGGGTGTGCCTAGTCATTCTGAAGTGGCCATATAAATATGAAGGGACTCAAATTTAGATTTTTGGTATGATTCCCAATGAGACAGTCCGAGACAAGGTGTGTTCAGTTTGCAAAAATCTATCAAGCTATATACACTGATGATATTTTCACTTTTCTATGTGTATTTTACATTCAATGAAAATTTAAACTATATTTGCCACACTCTGTGTTACACTCTTTAGGCATTTTTGTCTCAGGGGATAGAGGGATAGAGCGTTGGATTGGGGACTGAAGGGTCCCAGGTTCAATTCCAGTCAAGGGCACATGCCTGGGTTGCAGGCTCGATCCCCAGTGGGAGCCGTGCAGAGACAGCCGATCAGTGATTCTCTTTGTATCTCTCTCTCTCTCTCTCTCTCTCTCTCTCTCTCTCTCTCTCTCTCTCTCTCTCTATCTCTCTCCCTTCCTCTCTGAAATCGATTTAAAAAATACATTTTTCCGATTTTTATTTTAAAGAAGTCTCCAAAAATAGAAGTGGGCTGTGACTAGCTTTGGACACCTGAGAGCCCCTAGAGGGCGCTCATTCTGCATCAGAGACTTGAAGGCTTCCTTGCGAGCATTCACATACCACACAGTCATTCCTTTAAAGTGCACAATTAAATGTCTAGTCTGTTCACAGAGTTGTGCAACCATCACCACAGTCAGTTTTAAAATATTTTCTCATCACTGCAAAAAGAAACTCTCTGCCTATAACCTTCCTAACTCCGCCCTGTCTCCCTCTCCAAGCAACCACTAATCTATTTCCTGTCTCTAAAGATTTGCCTTTTCTGGATATTTCCTATAAGAGTAATCACATAAAATGTGGCCTTTTGTGCCTGACTTCTTTCACTTAGCATGCTTGCACAGTTTATTCGTGTTGTAGCATGCATCTCTATTTCATTCCTTTTTAGGACTGAATAATATTCCATTGTATGGATAGACCACATTTTGTTTATCCATTCATCTTTTGATTGATACACAGGAGAACTCCCTTCACCCAACCTGCAAACAAGGCCTTTAAGAAGAACCCATGCCGAAACCGGTTTGGCTCAGTGGATAGAGCCTCAGCCTGCGGACTGAGGGGTCCCAGGTTCGATTCCGGTCAAGGGCATGTACCTGGGTTGCGGGCACATCCCCAGTGGGAGATGTGCAGGAGGCAGCTGATCGATGTTTCTCTCTCATCGATGTTTCTAACTCTCTATCTCTCTCCCTTCCTCTCTGTAAAAAATCAATAAAATATATTAAAAAAAAAAAAAAAAAAAAAGAAGAACCCAGCCAAATTCTAATCATTCAAATCTGGCAAGTAATTATCAAAAGAGCCTTCAAGCTTGGTGCTCCTGACACTTCAGTATGGGGCAGTTGCCAGGCCACAGCAACTCCTCAGGAGTTTGTGAATCATGGTAGCAGATTCTGACTCGAGATGAAAAATAATCTCATAGATTTGTGACCTGCCCTTCCAGCTGGCCTGCAGATAAGCCTTCGCCTGCCCCAAATTCTTCTCTAGGGGACAGTCCTGCCTTCCCCTGAACCAGGGTCTAACTAGGGGCTGTGAAAGGACTCTTTGCAATAGTGGGACTGAGTCTTGTGACTGAGTCTTCGCCTGGCCTAGGAAAGAGAAGATTTTAGTCCATGAGGCGCCATTCAATAGGCAGCAGGACAGCTCTGGACAAAGCCATGAGCCAAGGGACAGTTTGACCTACTTGGCTGGGCATGCTGGCCAGGTACCTAAGGAGGAGAGGCAAATGTCTTGAGGAGTGTCACAGAGTGTCAGCAGCATGACTGGCCAGGGGCAACTTTGGACCCTTGCTAGGCTACTCTGGAATTAGGGATTGTAATTCAGAAAGAGCCAACTAATTTCAGTGAGTGATATAAGAGGCAGCCATTTGCACCATGAATATAAGAACAATAAAGGAGAGAGAGAGAGAGAGAGAGAGAGAGAGAGAGAGAGAGAGAGAGAGAGAAATAGAGATAGAGAGAGATAGAGGGGGATGATTGCTTTGCTGTTGACAGCAAACTCTTGTATCCTTAATAAATTTCCTTTATTGCTTAGTATGAGATGGTGTCTCTACTTGCAACCAAAAGACCCTTGGATAAAGCAAGAAGATACATTGTGATGCCAAAACCGGTTTGGCTCAGTGGATAGAGCGTCGGCCTGCGGACTGAAGGGTCCCAGGTTCGATTCCGGGCAGGGGCGTGTACCTGGGTTGCGGGCACATCCCCAGTGGGAGATGTGCAGGAGGCAGCTGATCGATGTTTCTCTTTCATCGATGTTTCTAACTATCTCTTTCCCTTCCTCTCTGTAAGAAATCAATAAAATATACTTTAAAAAAAAAAAAAAAAAGAAGATACATTGTGCAAGTTCTGTGTCCACTAGTTACTATCTATTGAGAGAGAGGCACACACTCCACAAATTAACTATAAATGATGTGGTGAGTGTGGAAACCAGAGCAAAATCCTCATTCCAACTGGAGTGAAGAGCAAAGCAATGAAGGAGTACCCACTGGAACAAAAATGACACTTCAACAAAGACTGCATTAAATCAGTGAAGCCAGGCACCCAGAATAGGCATATTTGTTAAGACAAAATAGAACAGAGGTTACCAGGAGCTGGGGGAGAGAGGAATGGGGAAGTTGTTATTTAAGGGGTACAAGAATTTTAGTTTGAGCCTGGCCAGCGTAGCTCAGTGGTTGAGCCTCAACCTATGAACCAGGAGGGCACATGCCTGGGTTGTGGGATGGGTCCCCAGTGGGGGGTGTGCACAAGGCAGCCAATCAATGATTCTCTCTCATCACTGATGTTTCTATCTCCCTCTCCCTTCCTCTCTGAAATCAATAAAAATATATATATTTATTTTTAAATATATTTTATTGATTTTTTACAGAGAGGAAGGGAGAGAGACAGAGAGTTAGAAACATCGATGGGAGAGAAACATCGATCAGCTGCCTCCTGCACATCTCCCACTGGGGATGTGCCCGCAACCCAGGCACATGCCCTTGACCGGAATCGAACCTGGGACCCTTCAGTCCGCAGGCCGACGCTCTAGCCACTGAGCCAAACCGGTTCCGGCAAAAATATATTTTTTTAAAAAAAGGATTTTAGTTTGGGATGATGAAATGTTCTGGAAAGGGACAGTGTGAATGATAGCACACTCTTGTGAATGTACTTAATGCCACTGAGCTGTACCCTTAAAAATAATTAAAATGGCCCTGGCTGGTTTGGTTCAGTGGATGGAGCATCAGCCTGCGGACTCAAGGGTCCCAGGTTCGATTCCGGTCAAGGGCATGTACCTTGGTTGCGGGCACATCCCCAGTTGGGGGTGTGTAGGAGGCAGCTGATCGATGTTTCTCTCTCATCAATGTTTCTAACTCTCTATCCCTCTCCCTTCCTCTCTGTAAAAAATCAATAAAATATATTTTAAAAAATTAAAATGGTAATATGGATAATCACAATAAACAAAAAACAAATCACAAAAAGAAAAAATTACACCCAAGTTCAATCAGGCTTGAAGTTAGGGCCTTCAGACTCATGTGTCAATCAACCTCTTTCTATGGGACATGCTGCAGGGGCGTCGGTTTCCAGTCTCTTCCAGTTCTCTGCCCAAACAGTGCAGTGGCTGCAGGAGCTCAGAAGAACTGCAGATGGAAGAGGAGGCCGCTTGGCCTCCGGCCAGGCTGCTATCTGGAGGAAAAGCAGCCTTGGCTGAGGGCACAGAAGAGGCAAAGGCCCTGAGGCAGGAACATGCCAGGGACTTTCCAGGAAGCAAGTGTGTGGGGCAGGAGCAGAGGGAGAGGGGGCACTGAGTAGGGGACAAAGTCAGAGAGGAAAGGGAGGGAGGCGGGCAGATGAAGCAGGGCTTTCAACGCCACCAGGTCTGTGGCTTTTACTCTGAGTGACCAGGGGAGCCAGAAAAAGGATGTGAGCGGAGGGACCGGGGCCTACCTGTGTCCCAGTAAAATGTACGCCTCTTCCAGGGCTGGAGGGGCTGTGAAACCTCCCTCGGGTCCTCAAAGGCGGCTAGCAGACCCCCACAAGGCTGAGAACCCGTGTGGCCTCGGCTTTCCCTTTGTACTTTTGCCACTTGTATGTTGGCAGAACCGCCTTTAACCCTTTCCTGCCGGTTTCCGGCCTTGTATTTGCTCCGGGAAGCCCAGGCGGCAGACCGGTAGGCGTGGAAAGGGCGGTAACCTGCCGGGGCGCACCGCGGTACTCCCTCCTCCCGCCCCCTGCACACCTTGGGCCACCTGGCGGGTGCACCTGCCGGCGCACGACCTCACAGGCCCCAAGACTTCCTTTCCCGACGCCGCCGGAGGACCTGAACCGTTTCCCCTCGCGCTGCCCGGCAGGAAGGGGCGGGCACTGCCAGCAGGCTGTGCTGTAGCCCCACGTTGCCATAGCGACCCCGGCCGGGCCGGGGACGCCGGAGCGCGCTCTGCTGGCTGCGATTGAGGCGGAGGCTGCGACACCTCATCCCGCCCAGGGGCTCCGGATCCAGGCTCCGCCAGGCAGGTGAGCGCCGGTCAGAGGGCGCAGGTGGGACCGGGTGGTGTCGCTGAACGGTCCCCTAGCCCTCCCAGGCCAAATTCTAGCCTTAGGGCCAGCATCCACTCTGGATTGGTCGTACCGGTTATCAAATATGTGACCATCACCTCCTCCGGCCCGTGGACAGCTTCTTACCGATGTCATCACAAACCCAACTGTTCTCCTGGTTTCCCTGGGTTCCCAAGGAATTGTGCCATCAGACCCCTCCCCCTCCCCCCCGGGGGCACCTGGAGAAGCAAGGGAGGAGACAGCTGAGGATCCGTCCAGCACAAAAGAATCCCCTCCGAGGGCAGCTCATCTGCCCCAGGGACTCAGAGCACACATGATTCGCCCCACTTGAGCTCAGACAGTGCCTCCCGGGGAAGCCCCAGAACCCTGGCATAGCTCGAGGCACACTGAGCCCCTGATGTCCCTAACCCTTGCCAGCACCCTCTGGCCCCGCTGAAGCAGCCAACATGCCTATCTTCAAGTGCCCACCCAAGTCACAGCCCCCGTGGAAGGAATGGGACCAAAAGGCCCAGAAGAATGGACTGAGACACCAGGTATATGCTGTCAATGGCGACCGCTACGTGGGCGAGTGGAAGGACAACATGAAACATGGTGAGTAGGGGACCTTCAGGGGCTCAGGTGGGGTCTGAGCCAAGGAAACGGGGTACAGAACTCATGAGGGACATAAGATATGTCCCTGAGGCTCCTCCAAGGGGTGAATGCTGACCTGGACCAGCCAGGGACCTCCACGTGGAAAGGAACTCAGCCCTGACTTCAGCTGAGAGAAAGTCTCAGGGACCAGTAGGGCCCAAAGCAGTCTCGAGACACCAACCCCAGGTACAGCTGGGACTCAGGAGACGCCAGCTCTGTCCCACCCTCCCCTCTGAGACCTGGTCTAGGCCTTCGGCTGGCTAGCGGGAGGAAAAGGCAGACGCCGGAAATCAGCTTGCAATTGGGATGCTGGTCTTCAAACTCAGCCCTGATGTGAATTCTGACCAACAGGGGGTAAAGGAGGACCCCTCCCTTCCCTCAAGTAGCTGGGGCTCAGGCTTTAACTGCATTGGGCTCTGGGTCTAACCAGCAAGGGGGGGGAGGGGGGGGCACAGGAGTCCTGTTATACAAATGAAGACCTGAAGGCAAAAAAAAGTATTCATTTTAAAAACTGGCATGACTTTTCATTCCAGTCTCGCAATTCCAGATTCTTAACCCCTCTTCTCTCCTGCTTACCTGCATTGAGTGCAGTGGAGTCCATAAACCTGGGTGAGAATCCTAGCTCCACCAACTATGACTTGAGTGACCACCATGCCATTCTGGGCCTCAGTTCTCCCATCTGTAAAATGGGAGTAAAACCTATTTGTGAAGATAAGAGATGACATCTATCAAGCATGTAGCCCAGGGTCTGTGCAAAAGGGAAAGGGTGTATGGAAGAGGCTTGTAATTTCATTTTTTTAAATAAGTTTTTATTGATTTTTACAGAGATAGGAAGAGAGAGAGATAGATATAGATGAGAAATATCATCCATCAGCTGCCTCCTGCATGCCCCCTACTGGGGACCTAGCCCACAACTGGGCATGTGCCCTGACTGGGAATAGAGCCAGTGACCTCTTGGTTTATGGGTCAATGCTCAACTACTGAGCCACACCAGCCTGGCAAGGCTTGTAATTTTAAATGGGATTATCAGGGTAGGCCTCATTGAGAAAATGAGATTTGAGCAAAGACTTGTAGGAGGTAGGGAGGGAGTGAATATTTGAGGAAGAGCATTCCAGGCCAGGGAACAAGCAGGTGCAAAGGTCTTGAGACAGTGGCATACCTGGTGGATTCCAGGAACAGTCGAGGCCATCGCAGTTGGAGGGCAATTTGAAAGGTGAGAGTGGAAGACACAGAAGGGGTTAGAGTAGTAGGAGATGGGTCTCCACATGTGTTCAGGAGAACTAGAGAAATATGCAGAACATTTTCCAGAAACTTCATGAAAACAAAACCCAAATCTGTCCAGCCAGTGTGGTGCAGTAGTTGAGCATCGACCATGCACCAGGAGGAGGTTGCAGGTTCCATCCCAGCCAAGGCACATGGCCAGGGTTTTGGGCTCAATCCCCAGAAAGGGGAATGCAGGAGGCAGCCAATCGATCTTTTTCATTGATGTTTCTATTTCTTTCTCCCTCTCCCTTTCTCTCTAAAATCAATAAAAACATACTTTAAAAAAAAATCCCAAACCTAAAGAAAGGTTTTTAAAGTTTATTTTGAGACAAGGGTTTGGAGGTTAGTCCCGGAAGCAAAATCTCAAGGAATTGAGATAATGCTCCGTAGAATGGCAGTTTTGCAGCTTATTTTATACTAGAGGCCCAGTGCACGAAATTTGTGCACGAGTAGGGTCCCTAGGCCTGGCTGGTGATCAGGGCCGATCTTTGAGGTGACTGGCGAGGCGATTGGGGGCCCCTGCTGGCACCCGCCTTGGCTGGCCTGGCACCGCCCGCTCGCTGGCCCTGCCCCCCACCACCGCTGCCAGTCACCTCCCTCTGCAGGGCAACTGACGGGTTGATTGGGGGCCCCCACTGGCACCCACCTTGGCTGGTCTGGGGCCTGCGGGCTGGGGGCAGCTCCTGTGTTGAGCATCTGCCCCCTGGTGGTCAGTATGCATCATAGCGACTGGTCATTCCACTGTTCAGTCAATTTGCATATTAGGCTTTTATTATATAGGATGTTAGAATCAAAGGAGAAGACCTAAGGCGGGCACATGAAATCCACGGGGGGCATATTAAGGACAAAGCAAAGCAGGGAAATCTCTAGAATTGGATAAAAAGTAAAATAGAGAGATACATACTCTGTTTTTTTCCATGGATGGTTACAGGATAGTTAATATTTTACATATATAGTTTACAGGGGTATGTGGGCAATGAAGCATGTTGGAGTTATCTTGCCCCATACCAGGTTCTGAAGAGCATTTTGATATTTTAAATATGCTTTTCTAGATGCACAAAAACAATGGACAGGACTTGTTCAAGGTAGAGAATTACCTATCACATAGACCTTAAGACGTGACTTTCCAACATAAGTTACTCAGTTATGATTTTTTTTAAAATATATTTTATTGATTTTTTACAGAGAAGAAGGGAGAGGGATAGAAAGTCAGAAACATCCATGAGAGAGATCGATCAGCTGCCTCCTGCACGCCCCCCAGTGGGGACGTGCCTGCAACCAAGGTACATGCCCTTGACTGGAATCGAACCCGGGACCCTTGAGTCCGCAGGCCGACGCTCTATCCACTGAGCTAAACCGGTTCGGCGATTTTTTTTTTTTTTTTAATGATTGAAACATCCCTTGAGGTTACTTCTAGCTATGGAGCCTGCCAGGCTTGCCAAGGTAGCCCCTTTTTGTTCACAAAACCCTGGCCAGCTGGCTTATCTATTCTGTATTATTAAAGAGATGAAACTGAAATCCTGGAGGGACCAGTTGTTACTTGGGGTTTGTTTGCTACGTCAATCTGGCTTCAAGGCAAAGGACTGGAGAACCACGTTTAAAGAAATGGAACTTTCTGGGGGGTTTTCTGAGCGCTGGTGGTCTAGAGCAGTGGTCGGCAAACTGCGGCTGGCGAGACACATGCGGCTCTTTGGCCCCTTGAGTGTGGCTCTTCCACAAAATGCCATGTGCGGGCGCACACGTACAGTGCGATTGAAACTTCGTGGCCCATGCGCAGAAGTCGGTTTTCGGCCTGGGCGAGTCTATTTTGAAGAAATGGCGTTAGAAGAAGTGGGAGGTGTCGGTCGGTGGGGTGATGGGAGACGCGGGCAGGCGGGCCTCGGGATACGCAGCAGGGAAGGTGCGCGATTCATGCGGGAGTTGAGTGAGCCAGTCAGTCAGCAGTCTCGTGTGCAGTGGTTAGTGCTAGTCGCGTCCGCAAACCGAGCGCGGGTGACAAAAGTACCTACTCGAAGCATAAAGTTACCTGTATTTTTCCAACCAGCTGCAAATCCTACAGGTATTTTTGTCATCAATTTAAGAATTTTAATTATTTTGTGTTGGTGGCTTTATTATTATTTTAGCAAAGGCCAGCTTAGGAGTACCCTAATTAAGTTAATAACAATGTACCTACTTATATAGTTTAAGTTTAAAAAATTTGGCTCTCAAAAGAAATTTCAATCGTTGTACTGTTGATATTTGGCTCTGTTGACTAATGAGTTTGCCGACCACTGGGATAGAGACGATGCACAGACCCTGTCCCAGTCCCCCAGAATCACCAAGTCTAGGGGCCCCTGAGGCCCAGGCAGACCCAGCAACTGCCCTCCAGCCCCATGATGGCCACGTCTGCAGTGCTGGCCCATCTGTATGTCATCAGGAAAAGGAACACAGATCTGGAAGAAGAAAGGGGCCATCTATGAAGGGGACTGGAAATTTGGGAAGCGAGATGGCTATGGCACCCTCAGCCTTCCTGACCAAGAGAAAGGAAAGTACCGGAGAATATATTCGGGCTGGTGGAAAGGCGATAAGAAATCGGTGAGTGGTTCCCATCATGCCCTGGGATGTGGGCCAGGCTGAAAGCATACTGTGTGTGTGTGTGTGTGTGTGTGTGTGTGTGTGTGTGTAGGGGGAGGAGCCAGAGAGGCCTGGGAGAAAAGGTAGGGGGATGGATTTGAGGAGTAAAAGGGTTACTGTGTGGGTAGGAGAAGGAAGGGGTGGGGGGACCCTTAAGGCTTCTCAGAACAAAACCCAGGAAACAGGAAGGCGGAGGAGAGACCCAGGGAGGAGCCTGTGAAACCCTGTGGCTACAAGAAGCCAGCCAGGCTATGGGCTGGTGGGTGGGGGAGAAGTCTCCTCCTCCTTCTCCCCCACTCATTTCCTGGCTTTCTTTTCCCTGGACGGCCCTTTCTGAGAATCCCCCTTTGGTGGGCCAGGATAAGAGGAGGGTAGGAAGAGTGGGAGCAAGAAAGCTGAGGTCACACCCTTAGTCATCTGACAAGAAAGGAAGGTCCCACGTCCCAGGGGTAGAAGCCAGCCAGAGGCACGTTCTCACCCATAAACATCAATATCCTCACCATAGGCCATGGGAACAGATCCAAATATATTATTGCTATTGAACAACTGCTATTGCAATCCTGGCAAATGATATGGTACTTGAGCTAACTCTCACATCATCATCATCATCATCATCATCATCATCATCAGCCCCATTTTACTGATGAGGAAACAAGCTCAGAGGTGAAGTGCTTTGCCCGGGGGTCACACTGCTGGCAAGTGATAGAGCCCAGGATTTCATGGTCTCTGCTTTCAAATTGTTTATTGGCCGGTGATGAGAGAAGTGTTAGGACAGAGCTTTGCACAAGGAGTCCAGAGGAACATCATTGAGCATTCACAGGAGGCTTCCTGTAGGAGTTGACACCAAAAAAAAAAAAAAAAAAAAAAGCAAAGAGTTAACCAGGGAGAAATAAAGGAGAAGGGGAAGTAGCAAAGGAGGCAGAAGTAACAAAAGGAAGGATATGTCAGCAAGGTGTCTGTGCCCACAGGGGTGGGAGTAAGGGGAGGGAGGGAGGTGTGGGCCTTGCTGTGGGAATCGGGATGTGGAGGGAGGCTTAACCCAGCCCCCTTAGATGTCCACGACTCTGTGCGACTGAGTGCTAAGTATGGTGTTGATAGTCATTTTACCTGGGAGGAAAATCCATAGCTTTGATCTGATGCTCAGAGGCATCTGTGACTTTTAATAGGGGCAAGTCAGAGTTGGGCAAAGATAATTAGATGGGAGATGTAAAGATCCTTCTAGTTGCTGTATGCCGGATGCACGAGGGCAGGGAGAACGGGAGAGTGGAGGTAGGGGAGAGTGAGGAGGGGAGAAAGGACCGTGGGCTGCATAAAGGCGGTAGCAGAGGGACAGAGGGAAATGGACAGCCTGGAGAAACTTTTCAATACAGGATGTGGGGCTCAGCGAGGAAGGAAGCAGCCCCGGTGCGTGGTTCGGGTGCCAGGGAGGATGGTGGGGGGCGCCGTGAACAGGGACACCTCCATGTTTTCAGGGCTATGGGATCCAGTTTTTCGGACCCAATGAGTATTACGAAGGTGAGTGGTGTAGCGACCAGCGCAGCGGGTGGGGCCGCATGTACTACAGCAATGGTGACATCTTCGAGGGCCAATGGTGGAACGACAAGCCGGACGGGGAGGGCATGCTGCGCCTGAGTGAGTGCCCCGCCCCGCCCCGCCCCGCCCGCCCCAACGGCCTGCTGGCCACGCCCACATGACCACGCCCAGACCTGCTCACCACGCCCCCTCCCGTGCCCTCAGGGCCGCATTCCTCTGGGCCCTGTGTAACCCAGACCCCATCAGGCCACGCCCTGCAAAGCCCCAAAGCGCCACTCCAGTGTGGGTTAAGGTGCAAGACAGGACCAGATCCCTGCCCTCAGGGAGCTTATACTCTAAAAGGAGGGCCCAACAATAAACATGAGCAATGAAGACATTTTCTTATGGTCAAAGCAATCAGAGCTGCACTTGTACAGTACTGAAATAACTTAATTTTTACCACAATTCTGTAATACAGGTACTCTTATCCTGACTCTGCCAATAAAAGGAGGATCAGAGAAGTTAAGTTACTTGCTCAAGGTCACACTATCTGTTAGTTGTGGCATCAAAGAGTGCTAAGGAATTCCCCTTAAATTCACCGCCATCAGATGAGAAGTTGAATTGACTCCCAATGAAGAACATGGATTCCTGGGATGAACAGGCCTTGGTTTCGAATCTTGCCTCTGTCACTTCCTAGCTCTGTGACCTTGAGCAAGTCAGTCAAACTCCTTGAGCTTTGCAAGCTCCATCTGTAAAATGGAGTCCTTCATCCTTCATAGAATTGTGTTTGTGAGGAGTGACGTCAGAAACAGGCAAGGAACCAGGTGCAGAGTAAGTGCTGAAAAAAACATTACCGATGCATGTTATTAGCAATATTTTTCTTACAAGTAGGAAACCATGTGGCTTGTTCACGTAAGTAGTGGAGGCAAGATGTGAAACAGGTTTGATTCTGGAAGTCACTGACACCCCAGGGCTCTGATGTGTATAGGTCAGTTGTCCCAGACCCCACCCCATCTACCAGCCCAGCTCACTCTCATCAACTTAGTTTTGTTCTGGCTTCCTGGTGGGCCTGGTGCCTAGCCTGGGAGTGGCAGAAGGCCAGCCGGGCACGCTCTGCCCAGCACCCACACCTCCCTGCCCTTTCTTCCAGAGAACGGGAACCGCTATGAGGGCTACTGGCAGGGAGGCTTGAAGAATGGGCCTGGGCGCTTCTTCCATCTGGACCACGGTCAGCTATTTGAAGGCTTCTGGGTGGACAACATAGCCAAGTGTGGCACAATGATTGACTTTGGCCGAGATGAGGCTCCTGCGCCTACCCAGTTCCCCATTCCTCAGGTGGGCAGCTCTCACCAGGGCCCTGTGGCCACACCCAGAAAGAGACAGAAAATAGCACCCCCACCCCCCAACCACACCCAACCTGGCCTGATCCAGCCCAATCCAACCAGGGAACAGACAAGGTTTTGTTTTCAGTCTGGGTATCTCCAGGGAGGCAGGTAGCACCTCACAAGGCAGACAGCACCTCATAAAACTGGCACCCTGGGACTTCCATGCTCCTCAAACCTATCCCTGCTGTTTCCCCCCCAGGTCAAAATTGTAGACCCTGATGGTGTCCTGGAGGAAGCCTTGGCCATGTTCAAGAAGAAAGAGGAGCCCAGTGACACAGGAACCAGGAGGCCACGGTCAGATTCCCCAGTCCAAGCACATGCCCGGGTTGCAGGCTCGATCCCCAGTAGGGGGCGTGCAGGAGGCAGCTGATCAATGATTCTCATCATTAATATTTCTCTCCCTCTCTCTTCCTCTTTCTGAAATCAATAAAAACATATTTTTTTAAAAAGAAGAGGAAAAACAAGGAGACTGATGCCAGGTGAGGGGGTGGGCACACCTGTCACCCTCTATGTGGGTGAGGCAGCTCCTGGAGTCTTCTTTGGGGGAGGGTTTCCTTGTCCTTTCTGGTTCCTCCCCTTCAAAACCCATTTCACTGAAGACCAGTCCATTCCAGTCCTGCCCAAACCCTCCCATTTGTACCCTGGGCTTACTGGGAGGAACGCTGCTTGGAGGACTTTTTTGCCCCAGCCCTCCACTTGTCCGGTGGGCTCGTCCAGTCCTCGCTCCTCCTGCTGTGGGTATTAGGTTCGAGGAGAGGGCACTGGTACAGTGTCTTTGAAACACCAGCTCCCACCACCCCTTCACCCCTGCAGAGACTACCAGAACTTCAGGAGAAAGTCAAGTCCGCATCTTCCAACTGCTCAAACCGGTGGAGCTCCCACTGGAGGAGTGAGTGGTGACTCCGGGCACACCCTTGGCATCCTCAGAGAGCACCTCATCCTCCCGGCACTGGAACATTCTTTGTCAGTAGGGGCCAGTGCTTCTCTCCCCAGTTGGCCTTGGGGGCCCTCTTGTTACAGCTTTTATTCTAGGCCCCTATCCCTGGGTGCATGAGAATAAAGGAGAACCTGGTGGCATTCGCCTGGGCCTGTGATGTGAGGTTTGCGGGGCAGGAGAGCCACAGGAGGGATTTCAGGTAGAGAAGAGGGAAGAGGGCTCTGGCCTGCATGGGTTGATCCTACAGGGGAGAGAGAGGAGGTGTCTCCCAGCCTCTGAGTTCTGAGATGCTCCAGAGAGCAGAAAGCCTGCATCTGCTCACATTGGTCACTAAGATTTGGGGTTAAATCAGGGGCTCTGGACTTGGGAATCCTGTGGGAACTTTAAAAGCTACAGACGCCCATGTTCCACACCCAAGTTTCTCATCTGTCTGGGGTGAGGCCTGGGCCTTCAAAAGCTTCCCCAGATGACTTCAATGTACAGCGGGGGCCAAGAACTCACGACTTACTGGATTTGTGACCCTTAGCCAGGGACCTCCGGGCTTCAGCTACAAAATGGGACTTAAGAGATCTCACAGGGGTATCTTGAGGATTTGCTAACAGATGTAACCATATGAGTAACATGTATTGAGGTTAGTTGTGAAGCAGATATCTGGGAAGGGCTTTGCATCACTCTAATCTAGACAACATTCCTGCGCGATAAGAGAGACTCTTACATAAGGAGTAGGAACATGAGCTCTGCAGCCAGTTTGCCTGGGTGTGAATCCAGTGTGATTTATTAGCTGTGTGTTCTTGGGTACATCACCTAATCTCTCTGTTCTCTAGGTTTCCTCTTCTCTAATATGGGAATAACGGTACTTACCACCCAGGGCTGCTGTTGTTACTGTGAGGATCAAATAAGGCACCCCATCTCCTCCCCGGGCACATTTGGCATGTCCCGAAACATTTTTGGTTGTGAGAACTGGCAAGAATTCTACTGGCACTTAGTGGGTAGAGACAGGGGATCCTGCTAAACATGCTGCAGTGTAAACTCTACAAAAGAATGATTCAGCCCACCCTCAACAGTGTAGCCCTGAAATACCATGATGTTTGTACAAGCCTCGCCAAGCACCTGGCACACAGTAAAGACTCAATAAATGTTCACCGACACTGTCGAGGTTCTCTCTGCCTCTAAGTCATAAACAGGGTGGCCTGACCCAAGGCATGGTACCTCTGACACCAGGACGCTGAGCCTGGCATCCTCGGGGCACAGAATTAACAGGGCACCCACTTGGGTGCCAGGCCCTATGCTGACAGCTTTACCCGTGTCCTCTCCCATAACCCCTCATCAACCTATGAGGTGTCCTGCTATGATAGTGCCATTTTTATTGTTGTGAATCCTCACCCGAGGATATTTTTCCATTGATTTTTAGGGAGAGGGGAAGAGAGGGAAAGACAGAAACATCGATGTGAAACAAACACATTGATTGGTTGCCTCCTGCACGAGCCCTGACCAGGGCCTGGGCTGGGGAGGAACCTGCACCCGAGGTACGTGCACTTGATCGGATTCAAGCCCGGGACCCTTTGGTCCACAGGCTGACCTCTATCCACTGAGCCAAACCAGCTAGGGCTATTAGTGCCATTTTAGAGAGGAAAACTGAGGTCCAGGGAGGTTTCCTAGTCACCAAGTTGTAAGTCGATTGTACTTAAACAGAGGCCTATCTGCTCTTAAGGTACAGAACAGTGGCAGTGTGTGCAGGCTACCACTTTTTTCAGAAAAAGCAGAGATGTGTGCTGGTTTATGTATAACTCTCTCTACATGGGAAATAAAGTGAATTGGCAACAATGGTTGTCTCGCCCCCTTGCTGGTGTGGCTGTTGGTTGAGTGTCCTACCATGTACCAAAAGATCACTTGTTCAATTCCCAGTCGAGGTGTGTAGGGAGGTAACCAATCAATGTTTCTCTCTTACATTGATGTTTCCCTCTCCCCCTCTTCCTTCCTCTCTCTCTAAAGTCAACTTAAAAAAATGCTATATGATAAAACCCTAATATGCAAATTGACCAAACGTTGGAACGACCCGTTGCTATGATGCGCACTGACCACCAGGAGGCAGATGCTCAACGCAGGAACTGCCCCCTGGTGGTCAGTGCGCTCCCACAGCAGGAGCGCAGCTCAGCCAGAAGCCGGGCTCATGACTGGTGAACACAGTGGCGGGAGCTTCTCCCACCTCTGCGGCAGCACTAAGGAGCAGCAAGCAAGTGGATGGTAAGGAGTGAGGGGTCCTGGACTGGGAGAGGGATCCCAGACTGTGAGAGGGATGTCTGACTGCTGGCTTCAGACATCCCCCGAGGGGTCCCGGACTGCGAGTGGGCACAGGCTGGGCTGAGAGACCCCCCCCCCCTCCAGTGCATGAATTTCGTGCACTGGGCCTCTGCAGTGTGTGTGTGTGTGTGTGTGTGTGCATCTTTTTAAAAAAATATTTTACTGAGTTTTTACAGAGAGGACGGGAGAGGGATAGTTAGAAACATCGATAAGAGAGAAACATCTATCAACTGCCTCCTGCACACCCCCTACTGGGGATGTGCCCGCAACCAAGGTACATGCCCTTGATCGGAATCGAACCTGGGACCCTTGAGTCCACAGGCTGATGCTCTATCCACTGAGCCAAATCAGTTAGGGCTGTTTGTGTATATTTTAAAGTCACTGTCTCTGGGGAGACTCAGGAACCTGGGAATAGGAGAGGGAAAAATTTCACTGTGTATCTGGAATCATGTGATTGTATTATCTATTCAAAATATTAATAAAATTGAAATTAAAGAGACTGTGTTCTTAACTACTAGCATTTCCATAAATTGCCTGGATTTAAAAGTACCTGGAATTAAAAATACAGTATCAGACACACCTAGGGATGGGCTTGGTTATCTGCATTTTACAAGCCAATCTGGTGATTCTTGAGTTCAGGCAAGTTTAGGGGAAAAAATTTAAGACTACAGGCATAGAAATTATTCCAGCGGGATCCCAGGTCTCTGCAGAAGCAGGGAGGTGGATCTCTTAGGAAGATGCATGGAAGGTGCCTTCATCTTCTCTAGGGAGCAGTGGAAGGTTTCCAACAGTGGCCCCTAATCATCCCAGGCCAACCAGGGTGGGTCCTGGTGCACGTGCTGCAGGAGGAAGGCAAGAAACTGCCACAGGAGAAAGGACGGCTCCCTTCCCCATTCAGCCCACAAAGCTGCTGTTGGCCAAGTTCAAGTCTGCACAGGACAAGGACTAGGGCCACACTTCCCCCCAACCAACTTTCACTTTAGTCAGAGCACTTTGTATTTATAAAACCACTTTCTGAGACAGACAGAGCTCTCAAATGCAAAGACCCACGGAGGCCAGGCAAGTAGCATAGATGAAGCTGTGAGAAAAGAGGGAGCAGTGGAGACTGTGGCTAACATATGTCCTGAGGAAGAGGGTGGCTACAACTCACTCCTGCTCGTTGTTGCTCTACAAAAAGGTGGGCCCAGTGCTACTGCTGGATCTTCTCACTTCTTTTTTATTTATTTTTATTTTTTAAAAAAATATTTGTATTGGTTTTTTACAGAGAGGAAGGGAGAGGGATAGAGAGTTAGAAACATTGATGAGAGAGAAACATCGATCAGCTGCCTCTTGTGCACCTCCTACTGGGGATGTGCCTGCAACCAAGGTACATGCCCTTGATCGGAATCGAACCTGGGACCTTCAGTCCACAGGCTGACGCTCTATCCACTGAGCCAAACCGGTCAGGGCTCTTCTCACCTCTTAAGCAAAGCCAGAATCCGGTCCTGTGAATGCCCAAGACTTTCCAGGTTCAAATTCTGACCAATTGTTTAACCTCTTCGGGCATCAATTTTGTCATCTGCAAAATGGAGACAAATACTCCTGACAAAATGCACAACCTGATTATAAAAATGACAAAAAATACCAGGAAAACCAGACGGAGGCAACATCCTACAAACCACAGATCTGGACTTTTCAAAAATGTCAACATCACAGGATAAAGAGAGGCTGTTCCAACTAAATGTAACACCCTGATCCTGGATGTAAAAACCACTGCCAGAAAGGACATGATTGAGACAAGTGGGAAAGTGAACACCAATGTTCTATTAGGTGGTATGGCATCAACATCAGATTTCCTGAATTGTGGTTATGTAGGAGAATGTCCTTGGTTTTAGGAGGAAGTATTTAAGCATGAAGGGTCACAATATCTGCAATCAACACATATGGCTCAAGGGCAAACACACAGTGATCCTCATCATTCATGGTTTCTGTATTTGTGAATCTGCCTACTTGCTGAGGTGGAATAAGGAAACCTCTGCCTTGTTTCAGCTCTCATGGTCTATCTAGTGCCATGTTTTTCACGTTGTGTGCTTTTTATTGATTTCACCACTTAAAATGGTTCTCAAGAGTAGCATACCTGAGGGCTGTGACGTGCGTTACCTACCTGTGTCAGGTGTAAGCTTCATTCATGCACGAGTGATAGTTCTGTTGGCCTGAATTCAATATCAATAAGTCAACAAGATATGTTCAATAAGATGTCTTTAGATAGAAACATACATCAAATCAGTTGACAAAAAATATTGTGACCAGAGGCTCTCAGGAACCTAAGCCCATATTTCCCAGAGAAGCAGTGGTTCAGTATCCACTCATTCAGCGTTCACAGTGATTTTATAGAACAGAACTACGGCGAATAACAAGAAATGACTGCATTTATATTTCAGTTACTGTTCATGCAACTTTTTGGTAGGTTTAAAATTTCTCAAAATGTTGAGAAAAACAATCAGCTTAGAGGCTCACCTGATTGGGGCACCAAGAGAAATGATACCAGGCAGCCCAGACCCAACAAATACAGACACAAGAGGCATCCCTTATGAGTATATTTATGTGTTCACACACACACACGCGCACACACACGACGCTGAACAGGGAGAGGGAGGTCAAGACAGAAAGGACAGGAAGCATCCAGATGGCACTGGCATGGGCGGGGAGGAGGGACAAAGGGAGCATTTGTCCTG